GACACCCTGTCTGAGCAATCTGAGATGGCTGCTACTTGCACTGGGCTTGGAGATCCCAGGTGAAGCCAAGCTGTGACTCTAATCTGGGTGCTGATAGGGCTCAAGCCAGCTGTTGCTTTTTGATAGGATTTAGAAGACAAGAGGAGCCATTCTTATGGAAAAGCAGCTTGTGTGAGCCCTTAAATTGGGTGGAGCAGAGCTTCTGTGGATCTCCAATGTGGGTCACACAGTTAGCCAGGTTAATGGAGTCTCAGATATGGCACCAGCCTACCATTTCTGTGGTAGGTGGAGCGCTCATCAAAGGGACAATGGCTTCTGCTTACCCCAATGCCAGCCACTGCAGTCTCTCCCTGTATACCACTGGTGCCCTTCAAGCTACTATCCCGGTGGAGGAGCTCAGAATGAGTGAGTCTGAGTAGATGAGTCAGTGTGTGGGTTCCCCAAGAGGAACTGCTTAGGGCTTAAGCAGCCTCCTCCACTGACTCAATCCCTACTGGTTTTTGCAGCCAGAAGTTGTGGGGACTTAGCTTCCTAGCACTGGAACCCTGGGCTGAGGGGCCTTGTGTGGATCTGGGACTCTTCATTCCCAAGATGTCCCTCCTGAATTTTTATCCACACAGATGAAGCCAGCATGGTCCGCATCCACGTCCCTCCTACCAGTCTGGATGGATGTGGTTTCTTCAGTCCCGTAGTTGTCAGACTTCCATTCAATTTGATTTCATAGTTGTCAGACTTCCATTCAACTCAATTTCTGACATTCCTGAATGATGATTGTTCTATACTGTAGTTGTAATTTTGATGTGGTTGTGCAAAGAGGCAAGCCATGTGTGCCTATGTTGCCATCTTAACCAGAAGCTAAGATTTTCTTTTTAAAGACGGTTTTGTATGTTCAATTGTTTCTAGTTCTTAAGTAAATTAAACATCCTCATTGCAATTTTATGCAAAGTATTAACTTATCTCAAATATTTTTTCTTAGGTAATACAAGGATGAACCTGAGCCTAGGCTGTTATGTATTAGTGAATTCAAGTTGAAAACACATTTTACTATGCTTCAAGATAATTTTTTGAATCTGAACAGTCTCCTTGGCTGTCTGGTTTATGGGCCTAGGACATTTTCATATCTATTTTGTTTGAGTCTTTGGCAATACATGGGGTGTAGGCATTAAGCACAGTTAGTGTCTGTAGAATCATACCAATTACACAGATTTTAAAAGCCTTCTTAAAAATTGCATGTAAAAGTTCACCCATGCTCTCAATCTTCTGACAGTACAGATGACTGAAGCAGGAGAAAGCTCTGTGGAATAGGCATTATATAAAATAATGGTTGAACGTCATTCTAAAAGTTTACCACCCTGTTGTTTCCTCAGCCTGTTAATGAAATTATAGGTTGTTGCTTTGGACAGCTTCCCCAAAACCTATATGATACAGTTCTGTGCAAAGTACTAAAAATCGGAAGGAATTCTGTAGTACTGGTGGAGCTGATTGAGGCAAAGGAAACCATTTTTAATTTTTGCAACCTAGTGTCAAACTCATCCACAGAATTCAACCTGCAGTTTTGCTTTAGGCCTTGTATGCAATGATGAATTTTTAAATAAAAAAAAAATTGTATTACTTAGAAGCATTCATAATGTCAACAGAACAGCTGCAGCTTTTTTTTTTACAATTACAAATTGGTATTCAGTTAACAGACAATTATTTCATATAAACTGCATCAGTCAACTGAAGATGATAAAGCTACCATCACCACATATAACTAATGTGTGCTGTGCACTAACAAGAACCTGCTTTAACTTTCCATGCCAATTTACAGCCCCATACTGCACCAGGCAAGGTTAGTGGCTCCTGAAAATACCACCAGGATAGGGCTACCTAAAGACATATTCTGTAGTGTATTAACTATAAAAAAAGACACTGTACAGTTCAAAGACAAGTCATACACAGCCTGACATTTCAGTTTTTTTTCTTTAAAAGAAGGGAGTTGTATACACGAGGGTGAAATGCTTTATGGACAAGAAAAATACTACGCTAGAACCGTCTTACTATCATCGTCATCATCTCACTCCTCTTCGCCTTCCTTATCTCCCACCTCTTCCTCCTTTTTCGTGCTTTTTTCAGCTTTAATGATTTCCTTCTTCGCTGCATTAGGCTTTCCTTTAGCGGGATTGACAAGTCTCCTTTCAATACTTCTCTTTTAGCTTAGCCACCGCCTTTTCATCAGGCTGTCTGTCACCTGCAGCAGTATGACTCCACATCCCTCCCAGCTTCTTTGCAGCATCACCAGTGGATAGCCTGGGGCGCTCTCCTTTGGTTTTGGCAATATTCAAAACAAAAGAAGGAGGCTAAAGGAGCCCTCTTGGATACATTGGGATCCTTGTGTCTTTTTTGTTTCCGCTTTAGGAGAGCTCTAAGTTTTCATTTCTCTTTCATAGTGGACCTTGTCAGCCTTTGCCTTGTCTTTAGATTTGCCTTTCTTTTTAGGAGATTCGGTCTTCCACCTCTCTGAGCACTTGAGTTGACTCAGGCATCTGGGTGCTTTTTCATGTGGTCCTCCCTGCAAGTTTGCAGAGAGAAAGCCTGTGATGATATTTTGCCTCTCAGTTTAATAGGATCTCCTTTGCCCACATTTACTTACTTTTCCTTAGTGAACGCAGAGCTGGCCCAGTGTGGGTCCAGCTCACACTTGCCTTGGCATGCTGTTTCTATGGAGCCCAGTGTACTGCAATGGCTGTCAGTAATGAATTGTTCAGGCCAGTTAAGACATGCTGCTTTTGACTGGCCTTGACTTTGCATTATAATAATAGAAAGCTCGAGTATTTTATCTTTGTACCTAATATTTTAAGACTTAATTTGTTCTTCAAACTGTAACTGTACTGTTTTATTTTCCTAAAACATTGCTTGAAATATTTGAAGTAGCAGATGCGTGTAACAGAGTGTGGAAAAAGCAATAGTATTTTTGCTGGACTGGCAAAAAATAACTTGTAAGAACATACTTTTGCTGCAAAAGAATATGTCATATGTAGTGATTTTTATAAAAATTATAAATATTTATTTTTAAATATGTATTTTATGTTTTTTATATATTTCCAGAGAAGCAAATATGTCCATTTGACTTGTATTTAGTTATTTAAATCCTGATTCAGTCACTCTGAGTTACATACAGGGTGGGGCAAAAGGAGGCTTACAGTTGTTTGTATGGAAAATAATACAGTAAGTAATAAATAATAACATAAGAATAAACTCTTGTATACTCATAACCATAAACCTACTTTTGCTCCACCCTATGTGTATGTATCTGTACCTCATCAGTCTTTCTTGTAGTTATATATTAACTATTATATATAATTGTAGTTAAAGCAGTAGGCCAAAAAGCCAAATATTAGGTCACCAAAACACCATGGTTCAAATTTTAAGTAACTTTTGCAGCACTTGGTCCATCGTGTCATTTTTATAAAGGCTTAGGTCTCTCATTATGAAAACATACAGGACATCACGTAGATGCCATGCAGAGGTATTGTTCTGAGGTGGCGCGGGTCCTGAGCATCCCTGTCCAAGCGCCAGCTGAGGTGGCGCGGGTCCTGAGCATCCCTGTCCAAGCGCCAGCTGAGGTGGCGTGGGTCCTGAAGGCCCCTGCTCAGGATCCAGCTGAGGAGGAAGGCCCGCAGAGTATGCTCCGGGTCGTCATGGATGGGGAAATAAAATAGGTCATCCCAGACGCTTTTCTTGGTCTGCCAAGGAAAAGGGTGGCAAGCCCTTCTCTTGAAGTGGCTTTTATTGAGAACCATATTCATAGGGGTATACAGCATGGATGCAGAGCTCTTCAGTCAATGTCAAAGGCCATGTTTACAGAAAACAAATAGAAATCATAGATAACAATTGAAGGAACACAAGAGATTTGCCTCAGGTCAGAGTCTGGTAGACAGGGTCACGTCCATTCAGCCCTGAAACCTGTGAAACTGTTCACATTGTATGCTCAACCCCAAACATCAGTACTCATTAACTCGAGGGCATTCTTAGCAACATAAGTTTCATAGGATTTAATGCATTCCTCTTCCAGGCCTATTTGTCCCTGGGAACTGCCTGACCCAGTTTAGGACTGTTACCTGCCTTTTGTATTGTTTCACTGACCCGCTCAGGTGGTGGGCAGAGCAGCCAAGAGATTAGGAGATTTCTTTCAGATAGAATGAGGACTTTGGCATGGCAAGGCTGAGGGGTGGGGGCCTTTTGCCCTTCCTCCATGTCCCCCAAGTCCTTCCCATGATGTCCCCTATGCGACTGTGCCTGTCTTAGGTTGCCCCTGCCATCGAGGGGTCTTATCTGTCATTGACTAACCAGCCATCCTCCGGGGCCAAGGAGGGTGATGTGAGGGAGGCAAGGGCACAGCCCCTGCCACAGGGACAGGTTTTGTCTCCTCAGTGGCCTATTTTCCCAAGGCCTCCTTGCTCAGCTCCAGCCTTGGGGCCCTCACGCCTGTCAGCGAGGCTACAGTCCCTGAAACCAGGCGAGACCATTCCCAACATTGTTCATTTAATCCTGTGGTTGTCTATAGAGGTGAATGCATATGATTTTCAAGATACAGGAGAATTTTATCTGGCAGCAAAATTTTAAGATGATTTTATGCAAGTGTAACTTTGGAGTTTAATTGCTAGATCCAAATAAACATACTCGCTTTTTAAAATTTAGTTTTCTTAATTACTAGGATTTTCTATTTCTGCAAGAGTCATATTAAAAAAACTTTTTCAAACAATATTTTTGAACATAGAACTAAAAATGAATTGCCTATTTCATTAGTTTTTATTTTATTCTTAAGTAATGTAATTTTATAATGTTTTTAAAACAGAAAATACAAACCTAAAGGGAAAGTGCTGGTGTACTACTAATGAATTATAATTATTAAGCTTTGGTATGGGAGACGTCATTGATGATGGTATTTGAGAATACATAAATTGTGGCACAATAACTTCTTCATAAATACATTTGCATTTATTTATTCTGCCTTGCAGAATGTGACAGTGATGACAACCTCGGTATAAAAAGTACTCCAGTAGAAGAATTCAGATCCACAGAAGGTAACCTAATGGAATAATTAATCCTTTCCCCACTTGATTATATCGTGCATGTTTTTCTTCCCTCTCACCTGTTCATCTCCCATACTTCCTCCTACCCCCGAGGTTAAAAATAGTTGTTTCCTTGTTCTAAGGATAGTTTGCATTTTCTCATGTAAGGTGATTTAAGGATAATACTAAATTAGGAGCTAGAACAAAAATCAGCCAATTATGGCCCTTGGACCAAATGAAGTCCACTACCTGGTTTTGTAAATAGGCTTTGTTAGAACACACTCTTGTTTAAGTATTGACCGTGTTGATACTTTTACAAGAGCAAGTTTGGGTTGTTGTGGCACAAACAGTATAATTATCCCCGCCAAACCTAAAATAATGATTTTCTAACTGCACAAAAAGTTTGCTAACTCCTGGGCTAGGAGAAGATTTTGATTTTTTAGTTTGTACTTATTTTGAGGAGTATTAAATTAAGAATATCAAAAGTTATACAGAAGAAATATGAAAGCAAGCACTTAAATCCAAATATAAATGGGCTGTTTGTACAATTTAAAATTTTTTCCCTTTTTTCACAGGAAAATCTATTTCCTTTCATAGCTTAAAGAGAACTTTTTGTGTTACTTTAAAACAAATAATTTACTGACTGTACCATTATTTGGTTGTCATATTCCCATATTTGTACTTTGGTTTTTCCATAAAATGCTGCTTTTAAAAAACCATGAGAAAAAAATGAAACAACAGATTTTAGAAAACACTTGAAGCTTCACTGAAGAAGTTGAAACTTTAACATTGTCATCTTTGATGACAACAGTAGGAGTGAGAATATGAGGAACAGAAAGTAAGGAGGGAAATGTCTAAACCATCACAAACAAAATGGTTGAACTGATTCGTTTTCTGTGTGTTTGCTTGATCTCTCATATAATGAAATTAGTTTGACTGAGAGCATACCAGAATTTTATAGCATTAGAAGTCTGGGAATTTGAGTCTGGCAGTGGAATTGATTCATCCATTCAGTGAAGCAGAAAACTAATCTTTCTCTCTTTTAGCCAGAATTCACTGGTTAAACATAGATGGCAGTCAATCTACAGCCTAATTGGAAGCAAGCTTTTTGATGAGTTGTTTTCACCAACATGGTCTTTCAAGGTCTAGCTCAGTGCTTAGCAGCCACATGATAATAAATTAAACAAATGAAAGAACTTTTATGAGTTTTAAACAAAAACTGCCAGCTAAGTTGTTTATCAAGGCCACTAAAAGATAAACACCATTGGGCATCTAAGTAGTTAAGGCTTTGCAACCTTTATTTGCCACCCTTCACTAATCCCATGGAAAACGCCAGACAAAATTATAACTTTTAAATAACCACACTTGGAGAGGCTCTTCAGTTTTGTGGGCTCCTAGCTAGCTCAAAAATCTGAGATGTATACACTGTACATGCATCAGAATTTCTAACATTTAAGTTATTATCCATGTAATTAATTTTATGGTTTGGGGATTTGGAGAGGTTTTATATTTTGTGATTCCTAAGTTTGGAAAAGAGGATTACTGTTAAAAGGTGAAAGAGAAGGTACTTTAAACTTTTAGGTAGTTATCATATGAGGTATGGACATAATGCTTTAGCTTCAAGAAAAATTAAAAGGTTGTTGTCATGTGTGTGTTGTCTTTCCTGATTTTTTATATATATATTCATAATGAAAGTGAGAAGCACACAGTGTTCCGTGTACGTTAAGGAATCTGGTCTTCTCTGCACTTTCCTCTAATACCCTTTCTTTCCCACCTTCTTTTCACCCAACAAGAACTAACTTAAATATCATCTTTTAGTTTAAATCATATATGATTGTCATTTTTGTAGGCAATTTTGTATGGTTGGTGTCTCTCCTAGATTTTGCATCTTTAGAGAGAGCTAATTCCTGCCTTCTCTAAGTTCCCTCTGTACCATACCAAGTGACTTTAAAAAAATTTCTGCCTGTGTCTCTCATCTCCATTGAACTATGAGCTCCTCAAAGGGTAGGGTCATGTTTTATTTATCTTTATTTTAACAGCATCTAACACAGTGTTTGGCAGTAAAAGATTGGTTATTGAATGAATAAGTGTATAACTTAAATGTTAGAGCTACCAAGACCCAACTCTCTGTAACTGGAGAAGGGAAATTAAGACACAGGCCATTTGGTTGGTAGGTAGTTGACCCGGTACCATGAAAGCAAAGTGATGTCTAGTCCAGACCTGATAGCAAAACTCAAAAAAGTTTAAGTAACTTCCCAAGTTTCTCCTCCTGCCCTTCCCAACACACCATAAATGCCTGACAAAGGATGGTTGAAGTCAGGATAAATTTGCATGTGGCTTTTTGCCTTGAGGAAAGGAAGATTCCCTTATCATCCCCATTTCCTGTCGCCTGCATCTGCCCCCTGCCATGATTTGTCATATTCTTTGTTTTTCTCTATAGACCATCAGTCTCTGACCACCCAGCCTAATCATAAAGATCCTATATAACCTATTCTGTATACCAGATGGGAAATAGAGGCCAAATAGTATTGTGGTAAGGAGTAAAGACTTTGGGTTTGGGCTGCCTGGGTTAAAACTTAGTGCTGCCACTTACAAGTTATGTATTGTAATATTGGGCAAATCACTTAACTTCACTGTATGTTAGTGTCCTCATTTTAAAAATGGAAATACTGGTATATCTATTGTACTAGAATAACCTGGCATACGATATTGGTTGCTGCCACAGTTATTGTGATTTTCGATCATTATTATCATCGTGACCCACTGTTACCTGCATCTGAGGTCTGCTCTGTAGATATGCCTACTTAATATAGGTGTTCTGACTCAAATCTCTAAAAAGGAAAGAGGACAGCATTATGTGGATGTTTGCCAATGTAATATCATCTTTCTGTAAGTGTCAGCAATTAGAGTTCCTTCAATAAATAGCAATATCAATATAATTATTAATATTATAATGCAACTTTAACAGTGAAAGTCCATATTGTGACCAGTTTAAAGACCACAGAAAGGATAAGTGACTAGTGTGTTCATTTTTTAATTCAGTTAATGTTTATGAACTGCTTTTAATCTTAACAACTTATGAAAGCTAGAATATTCTCTCCATTTTACATAAAAACTTAGTCCTCTAAACTAGAGATTTCAACCTTTTATATCTGATGGCGCACATAAGCTAATTACTAAAATTCTGTGGCACACCAAAAAGTTTATTTTTTGCTGACCTGAGGGAAAAAAAAGGTATAATTTTGATTCATTCACATCAAACAGCTATTGTTGTGTTGGCTGTTTTCATTTTTTTATTTGATAGTCTAAGGGAAAAGATGTCAGTGTGCCTCACTAAATAGTCAAGTATTGTGTATTTTAAAAATTCTTGTGGCACCAGTTGAAAACTGCTGCTCTAAACATTAAGTATTTCAATAATTTGCCTTCAGATTCACAGCCTCAAAATGATTGGGGTATGATTTGTATATAGGTCTTGTAATTCCTTTACTGGATTCTTTCTTATTGCCATAATTACGTCTCTTTCAAAGAGAATGAATGAAATGAAGCAGAGACAAAGGAGAGTAAAGGAAACATAGACTTAGTCATAGAAGAGAAAAACACAGACCATACTTCCCACAAATGTTCTTTATTTCTTCATATAGCTTCGAGTTACTGCCTAATGTTCTTTTGTTTCAACCTGAAGGGCTCCTGTTAGTGTTTCTTTTAGGGCAGGTCTACTAGTAACACACTCTCTTAGATTTTGTTTATCAGGGCAAATAGTAATTTCTCCTTCATTCTTGAAGAATAGTTTTGCTGGATATAGACATTTTTCTTTTCTTCCAGTACTTTAAATGTTACCTCACTGACTTCTGGCCTCCATGGTTTTTGATGAGAAATAACTCTTATTGAAGATGTTTCATACGTGAGAAATTGCTTCTGTCTTGCTATTTCTGTTGTTTTTGCCTTTTGACAGTTTGACTGTAATGTGTCTCAATATGGATCTCTGATTTCCTCCTGCTTGGAGTTTTATTGAGCTTTTTGGATGCATGGATTTATGTCTTTCATCAAATTTGGGATGTTTCTGGCCATTATTTTTTCAAATATTCTTTCTGCCCCTTTCTTCTCCATCTGGGACTGTGATAATGTGTATCTTTGTCCGTTTTATGGCACCTCAAAGGTCCCTTAGGCTCTGCTTACTTTCCTTCATTTTTCTTTCTGTTCTTCTAACCGTATAAATTGTCTTATCTTCAAGTTTGCTGATTCTTTTTTTCTTTTCTTGCTTAAATTTGTTAAGCTCTTGTAGTGAATTTTTCATTTTTAGATGTACTTTTTAGCTCCAGAATTTCTATTTGGTGGCCTTCCACAATTTCTCTCTTTGTTAATACTCTAATTTAGTTTATATTTTGTTTTTTTGGTTTCCCTTGCCCATGGCTTACTGCGTAGAACATATTTAAGATAGTTGATTTAAAGTCTTTGTCTAGTAAATCCAATATCTAGGTGTCCTCAGAGACAGTTTAATTCCTTTTCTTCCCTCCTTAAATGGGCCATACTTTCCCATTCCTTTAGTTTCTTTGTGTTTTTGTTGTTGAAAACAAGGTGTGCAAAGATTATATGTAGTACCTTTGGAAATCAGATTCTACATCTTCATGAGTTTGTTGTTCTTGATTAATGAAGGTTGCAGCTGTCTGTTTAGTTTTCTCAACCGTTTTTGCAAAAACAGTATTCCTTGTCCTGTCTCATCACTAAAGCCTTGTTCCTCTAACTTGTGTTCAGCTAGTATGTTTACAGAGATTTCCTTGATGAATATCAGGAACTATAAATCAATCAATCAATCAATCAGTCAGTCTCTTCAGTGTTTACAGATTGGCTCTGTGCTGGGGCCCTCCAACATTTAGCCAGATTTGCACTGAGCATACAGGTCATCCTGTGGTGAAAGCTCAGAGTCTATTCTCAGGTATTTTCTGAGCATGCATCCTGTCTTGGGCATGTACCTGGCTTTCTAAATTCCACAGTATACCCATAAATGCTTTCAA